TCGCTGCTGTTTTGCCGCTCAGTCACGTGACCGGCGCGGAAAAACTATAAACAACTGACCTCATCAGTGACGTGCAACGCCCTAACTATAGATAAGGTCAGTGACATGCTAATGAGTTATGATCGTTAGCCCTAGCCCCTCCACATCTTAACAGACCTTAGATGTGTTAATGAGCCTCAGGATTAGGGTGTGTCTAACCCTAACTCACAGGTTATGAATCTCTAATGCGCGGCCTGAGATTTCCTTCCTTTGAAAAACTTTTTGGGATTAAGGATTGGAAAACCTTTTGGATTAAGGTGGGAAAACTTGCAAAGAAGTACAGACGATGGGTGAGATCCCTTCATTCCTTTGACTAATCCCTGCACGACTGAAAGCTTACACAAACTTATAAACAACAATAAAGATCCTCTTCTTGGGACCATGCTCGGAAAGAATCACCACCTGTTATTCACATGGCAATAAAAAGGATTCTGACTCCGATTTACAGAATATAATCCACCCTGAGTCTTCATCACTTTCCTTCACACTCTGTCCTCTCCAAAAGTGTGCGTCAACCCTAAAAACCAAAAAGTTCTGAATCTATAAATCCCTTTGACATTTCAAATCGGCCTAACAATCGATGCCGGGATGAAGTGAAGTGACGGGTCTTTGACGACTGCATTGTTTGCTCATCTTGACACGTTGAGCCTTTAGCTAATGAGGAATGAGAAACTATTAGGCCTTTTAGCTCAAGGTTCCAGTCTATGTGCTGTTTTTAGACTTATTTTCTTTGCCAGTGATTAATATTGATCACACACAGAAATCAATAAGGCCGGCTCCTCTGTGACGGGGAGCTCAGGTGAGGGCGACTTGTTCTCTTCAGGATGTACTCACTTTTAATTAACTATGAACAACTTAATGAAGCGGGATATCAGAGCGTTTTGTTCATGGTATTGGAGCCTGATGGTCCAACACAGACGTGAGCTGTGTTTATATTGTGACGACTGACCAGTGAGTGGGAGCTAAAGCCAAATTACACACTTCTTACACACAAAATCTGTTTTTCTTCTGATATAAAAGTGTGTTTTTTTTCATTTGGGTCAAAACAGGTTTCAAGTATAGCATTTTTCTCTTCTCAAATCACTTATACATATTACACTACTTCGGCACGGTGGCTGAGTGGTTAGCACTCCTGGTCCTGGGTTCGAATCCCAGTCGGAACAGCTTAGGTTTCCTCCGACTGCTCCGGTTTCCCCTACCACTAAAAACATGCACACTGGGTAAAATCCTCCAGCTCCGGTAGTCCTGACCAAGCCGAGCATCAACATCTGGAGATGGGTTCTTCAACACTGTTACTACGGCGACCACTGCTCCTGACGTAAGCCTTAGCTGCATCAGGATGGGTCAAATGCAGAGGATTGAATTGCCCTAGGGAAATTAATAAAGTGCACCTTTACCTTTATTTTGTGAAGACACTATGGCTCGTCCTCAACCTTCTCTGTCAACACCTCCAAAATTGAAAAAATAAAATAAAAATATGTTTGATAAGACTACCCACATCAGGGGTCGGCGAGGTGTGGCGTTGATTGCGATTGGTTATAGGATAAATCCAAGTCTAATTTTTCAATTCTTAAAGCAAGCGTTTGGAACTTTACGTAAAGAAAAAGTAAATAAAAATGTGGTCTGGACCAGTGTAAAACCATGAATCCTCTCTGCTTAGGGCCCTTTAATGATGACAGATTAGGGCCCTTTAATGATGACAGATTAGGGCCCTTTAATGATGACAGATTAGGGCCCTTTAATTATGTCAGATTAGGGCCCTTTAATGACAGATTTGGGCCTTTTAACGATGACAGATCAGGGCCCTTTAATGATGACTGATTTAGGCCCTTTAATGATGTCAGATTAGGGCCCTTTAATGAAGACAGATTGGGGCCCTTTGATGATGACAGACTGGGGCCCTTTTGATGACAGATTAGGGCCCTTTAATTAGGACAGATTCGGGCCCTTTAATTATGACGGATTAGGGCCCTTTAATGAAGACAGATTCGGGCCCTTTAATTATGACGGATTAGGGCCCTTTAATGAAGACAGATTGGGGCCCTTTGATGATGACAGATTAGGGCCCTTCAGTTACAAACGTCTTTTTGTCTGTTCACATTGTGGAACGCAAGATTTCAATTTCTGTTGTGTGCAGCCGTTTTAGACTTGAATATAACTTTAAAAATAAGTAAGTTTTTTGCTGATTGTGAGTTCTTGAGCTGGGTGTGTGTGTGTGTGTGTGTGTGTGTGTGTGTGTGTGTGGTCTCAGCTTTACAGAATGTGTCGCTGGATGTGGCTCAGAGCGAGAACTGTGCATGTGTTAATCTCTTTATGCATGTACAAATGTGCTGGAGCCGACCGGGGCATCTGGGCTAATCTGTGCAGGAGTATAGCTCACGCCTCTACAGCTGTGTGCTGCAGGTGCACTGAGCTGTGGACTAATGGCACGGATCAAGTCTGTCTGCTACACAACAACACACAACACCATTCTCTCTGTGGCGGAAACGCAAAACGGCACAATTAATCACAATGAAGTTGAAATTGCTGTTTTAGTGTCTGCAATTTGAAAATCCCAAACACTGCAATTCTTGAGCCATTTTCTTTGCAAACGTCAAATTGACTTGTTGCAGAAAATGTCAAAAGGGCTTTCCCTGTGTTTAGAGCTCTAAATCACGGTCACTGCAAATGTTAAGAATTATAGAAAAGGCAATTTATTTAACTGCATTTTAAGAACAGTCTGCAATAAAATGGATTGATTTGATTTCAACATTTGATTTAAGCAGCGGGGGGCGACGACAGCTCAGTTGGTAGAGCACTGGTCTTTGGACCTAATAGTCATGGGTTTGATCCCACCACGACCCATGTCACCTGCTCCCACTGATGTCTGCTGTTGCTGTGTCCCTGGGCAAGACACTTAACCCCACATTGCCTGAAGCCCCCCCTGAAAGACCAAGGCCATCTCATTAAGTCTCATAACACCAGCCCCTCGTTGATCCACAGGAAGATGGCTTCCCGAGGGGCTGGTGTTATGAGACTTGATAAACCCAGAAATGGATTAATAAAGGGGAAGAAGGTCCTGGGTTCGAATCCCAGGTCGGAACGGGGTCTTTCTGAGTGGAGATTGCATGTTCTCCCCGTGCTTGTGTTGGTTGTCTGGTCCTGACCAAGCCGAGCATCAGCATCTGGAGATGGGGTCCCGGGCGCTGTTACTACGGCGACCACTGTTCCTGACGTAAGCCTTAGCAGCATCAGGATGGGTCAAATGCAGAGGATGAATTGCTCTACGGGGATTGTTAAAGTGCACCTTTAAAGGAACTGTATGTCACAATCTTTCTGTCTGTGACACATCAGACAACACATAACTGACATAATGTGATGAAATCAGGCTTTGAAGGTTTTTTTAATAAGTCTTGTCTTATTAAAAGAACCTTCAAAGCCTTAAACATAAGACAAAATTAACGTTGTACTTTTACTGTGACGTAATCAGTGATATGTTGTATTGTATAGCACGGATTACAGCAATCTGCTTGAAACTGCAAACCTATCATGTCCATTGTATTTTTAATTGTGGAAAAATACAATGGTTTTGTTCAGAAAAGGTCAATGTGTTCTGGAGTCTGGGGACACATACAATATCTGGATGTCATTTAAGATTAACATATTATTAATTCTCTGAGTGCATTTTGGTTTTATGACAGATAATCCCAGATCCCGAGAAACATTGACCAATTTTGAGCTTATACATTACCTTCATATGTCTCCATTTTCTTTGCAAACACCAAATTGACTAATTGCAGAACATGTCAATATGGCTCTATAACACAGTCACTGCAAATGATAAGAATTATGGAAAAGGCCATTTATTTAACTAAGTTTTAAGAACAGTCTAGAATGATATGGATTGATTTGACTTCAACAGTTTAAAGGGCCTGTATGTCACTTGCATTAGTGGTCTAAAAAAGCCAGAATCCTGTCTGTGACACATCTAAAAACACACATAACTGATATAATTTAATTAAATCAGTTATATATTTTTCACATTTAGTAAGATTCATATATATTTTTTTGCAATATAAACTGGAGTCAAACATGTTGGAATCCTGACTGCTTTTCTGACCCCAGCCATACAGGACAAGTCAAGTGTTTATTTGGGCATTTAGACTATAAATACATTAATAATATGAAAGAAAAGTACAGAAATATATAAATAAGGGATTTAAAAAGGTAGTTAAATGTGTATAGTGTGGATTACAGTCAGTACAATGCACCAGAAATCTTTAAAATGTAAACAATAATATTATGGATATCATGTCCATTGTAATTTTTATAGAGGGCGACAGTAGCTCAGTTGGTAGACCATTGACCTTTGAGCCTGAAGGTCGTTAGTTCGAGCCCACCGTAAGGCTTCACTTCACTTCACGACTCCCACTGATGTCTGCTGTCGTTGTGTCCTTGGGCAAGACACTTAACCCCACTTTGCCTGAAGCTCCCACTGAAAGATCTCAGCTCCTGTGGACTCAGCACCTGCAGGAGGATCAGTGAGGGGCTGGTGCTCTGTGACTGGGTGCAGCTCTGGCCACCCCCCCGACCCAGAAATGGATTAAGGGGAAGAAAATGGATGGATGGATGTAATTTTTATCGTGAAAAACTCAAAAGGTTAATTACTCTGCAATCTAGGGACACAAACACTTTGTAGATGTCATTTAAGATTAGCATATTGTTTCTAATTCTTTAAGTGCATTTTGGTTTTATAACAGAAATCTTCAGATCCCTAAAAACATTGACCAACTTTTGTTTCCATCCGAGCACAACATTTCCACCTCTACTCTCTGGAAGTTGGAAGGCAAATGTTTAACTTTGTGCACTGGGCTGTAATGAGCAGAATTAGCCCCAGATCAAAGAGGACAATTAAAGGGGATGTTTGTGGTGGTGAGGGCTCATTAACATATCAACACACGACCGTGAAGAAGCGCCTCATTATGTGTGTACCCCTGCCGTACGTGTGTGTACCCCTGCCGTACATGTGTGTACCCCTGCCGTACGTGTGTGTACCCCTGCCGTACATGTGTGTACCCCTGCCGTACATGTGTGTACCCCTGCCGTACATGTGTGTACCCCTGCCGTACATGTGTGTACCCCTGCCGTACATGTGTGTACCCCTGCCGTACATGTGTGTACCCCTGCCGTACATGTGTGTACCCCTGCCGTACGTGTGTGTACCCCTGCCGTACGTGTGCGTGCTCTATCTCTGCGCTGTCTGGGGAGATGGACAACATTATATAAAATACTTATTTACATAAAACATACTCATTATACGTGAAACAGAGCAGCTATAGTTGAGCTCACTGTCAAATCAGGGTTTAGATTGTGGGAGATGGTGCTGTTACTGCCGCTAATGCTAATGCTACTTCTTCAATAACTGTTTCTACTACTGCTGCTAATGCTAATGCTACTTCTTCAATAACTGTTTCTACTACTGCTGCTAATGCTAATGCTACTTCTTCAATAACTGTTTCTACTACTGCCGCTAATGCTAATGCTACTTCTTCAATAACTGTTTCTACTACTGCTGCTAATGCTAATGCTACTTCTTCAATAACTGTTTCTACTACTGCCGCTAATGCTAATGCTACTTCTTCAATAACTGTTTCTACTACTGCTGCTAATGCTAATGCTACTTCTTCAATAACTGTTTCTACTACTGCCGCTAATGCTAATGCTACTTCTTCAATAACTGTTTCTACTACTGCTGCTAATGCTAATGCTACTTCTTCAATAACTTTTTCTACTACTGCCGCTAATGCTAATGCTACTTCTTCAATAACTGTTTCTACTACTGCTGCTAATGCTAATGCTACTTCTTCAATAACTGTTTCTACTACTGCCGCTAATGCTAATGCTACTTCTTCAATAACTGTTTCTACTACTGCTGCTAATGCTAATGCTACTTCTTCAATAACTGTTTCTACTACTGCCGCTAATGCTAATGCTACTTCTTCAATAACTGTTTCTACTACTGCTGCTAATGCTAATGCTACTTCTTCAATAACTGTTTCTACTACTGCTGCTAATGCTAATGCTACTTCTTCAATAACTGTTTCTACTACTGCTTCTAATGCTAATGCTACTTCTTCAATAACTGTTTCTACTACTGCTGCTAATGCTAATGCTACTTCTTCAATAACTGTTTCTACTACTGCCGCTAATGCTAATGCTACTTCTTCAATAACTGTTTCTACTACTGCCGCTAATGCTAATGCTACTTCTTCAATAACTGTTTCTACTACTGCCGCTAATGCTAATGCTACTTCTTCAATAACTGTTTCTACTACTGCCGCTAATGCTAATGCTACTTCTTCAATAACTGTTTCTACTACTGCCGCTAATGCTAATGCTACTTCTTCAATAACTGTTTCTACTACTGCTGCTAATGCTAATGCTACTTCTTCAATAACTGTTTCTACTACTGCTGCTAATGCTAATGCTACTTCTTCAATAACTGTTTCTACTACTGCCGCTAATGCTAATGCTACTTCTTCAATAACTGTTTCTACTACTGCTGCTAATGCTAATGCTACTTCTTCAATAACTGTTTCTACTACTGCCGCTAATGCTAATGCTACTTCTTCAATAACTGTTTCTACTACTGCTGCTAATGCTAATGCTACTTCTTCAATAACTGTTTCTACTACTGCTGCTAATGCTAATGCTACTTCTTCAATCTCTTTTTCTACTACTGCTGCTAATGCTAATGCTACTTCTTCAATAACTGTTTCTACTACTGCCGCTAATGCTAATGCTACTTCTTCAATAACTGTTTCTACTACTGCTGCTAATGCTAATGCTACTTCTTCAATAACTGTTTCTACTACTGCTGCTAATGCTAATGCTACTTCTTCAATAACTGTTTCTACTACTGCTGCTAATGCTAATGCTACTTCTTCAATAACTGTTTCTACTACTGCTGCTAATGCTAATGCTACTTCTTCAATCTCTTTTTCTACTACTGCTGCTAATGCTAATGCTACTTCTTCAATCTCTTTTTCTACTACTGCCGCTAATGCTAATGCTACTTCTTCAATAACTGTTTCTACTACTGCTGCTAATGCTAATGCTACTTCTTCAATAACTGTTTCTACTACTGCTGCTAATGCTAATGCTACTTCTTCAATAACTGTTTCTACTACTGCCGCTAATGCTAATGCTACTTCTTCAATAACTGTTTCTACTACTGCTGCTAATGCTAATGCTACTTCTTCAATAACTGTTTCTACTACTGCTGCTAATGCTAATGCTACTTCTTCAATAACTGTTTCTACTACTGCCGCTAATGCTAATGCTACTTCTTCAATAACTGTTTCTACTACTGCTGCTAATGCTAATGCTACTTCTTCAATAACTGTTTCTACTACTGCTGCTAATGCTAATGCTACTTCTTCAATAACTGTTTCTACTACTGCTGCTAATGCTAATGCTACTTCTTCAATAACTGTTTCTACTACTGCTGCTAATGCTAATGCTATTCTTCAATAACTGTTTCTACTACTGCTGCTAATGCTAATGCTACTTCTTCAATAACTGTTTCTACTACTGCTGCTAATGCTAATGCTACTTCTTCAATAACTGTTTCTACTACTGCTGCTAATGCTAATGCTACTTCTTCAATAACTGTTTCTACTACTGCCGCTAATGCTAATGCTACTTCTTCAATAACTGTTTCTACTACTGCTGCTAATGCTAATGCTACTTCTTCAATAACTGTTTCTACTACTGCCGCTAATGCTAATGCTACTTCTTCAATAACTGTTTCTACTACTGCTGCTAATGCTAATGCTACTTCTTCAATAACTGTTTCTACTACTGCTGCTAATGCTAATGCTACTTCTTCAATAACTGTTTCTACTACTGCCGCTAATGCTAATGCTACTTCTTCAATAACTGTTTCTACTACTGCTGCTAATGCTAATGCTACTTCTTCAATAACTGTTTCTACTACTGCTGCTAATGCTAATGCTACTTCTTCAATCTCTTTTTCTACTACTGCTGCTAATGCTAATGCTACTTCTTCAATAACTCTTTCTACTACTGCTGCTAATGCTAATGCTACTTCTTCAATAACTGTTTCTACTACTGCTGCTAATGCTAATGCTACTTCTTCAATAACTGTTTCTACTACTGCTGCTAATGCTAATGCTACTTCTTCAATAACTGTTTCTACTACTGCTGCTAATGCTAATGCTACTTCTTCAATAACTGTTTCTACTACTGCTGCTAATGCTAATGCTACTTCTTCAATAACTGTTTCTACTACTGCTGCTAATGCTAATGCTACTTCTTCAATAACTGTTTCTACTACTGCTGCTAATGCTAATGCTACTTCTTCAATAACTGTTTCTACTACTGCCGCTAATGCTAATGCTACTTCTTCAATAACTGTTTCTACTACTGCTGCTAATGCTAATGCTACTTCTTCAATAACTGTTTCTACTACTGCTGCTAATGCTAATGCTACTTCTTCAATAACTGTTTCTACTACTGCCGCTAATGCTAATGCTACTTCTTCAATAACTGTTTCTACTACTGCTGCTAATGCTAATGCTACTTCTTCAATAACTGTTTCTACTACTGCCGCTAATGCTAATGCTACTTCTTCAATAACTGTTTCTACTACTGCTGCTAATGCTAATGCTACTTCTTCAATAACTGTTTCTACTACTGCCGCTAATGCTAATGCTACTTCTTCAATAACTGTTTCTACTACTGCTGCTAATGCTAATGCTACTTCTTCAATAACTGTTTCTACTACTGCTGCTAATGCTAATGCTACTTCTTCAATAACTGTTTCTACTACTGCTGCTAATGCTAATGCTACTTCTTCAATAACTGTTTCTACTACTGCTGCTAATGCTAATGCTACTTCTTCAATAACTGTTTCTACTACTGCCGCTAATGCTAATGCTACTTCTTCAATAACTGTTTCTACTACTGCTGCTAATGCTAATGCTACTTCTTCAATAACTGTTTCTACTACTGCTGCTAATGCTAATGCTACTTCTTCAATAACTGTTTCTACTACTGCTGCTAATGCTAATGCTACTTCTTCAATAACTGTTTCTACTACTGCCGCTAATGCTAATGCTACTTCTTCAATAACTGTTTCTACTACTGCTGCTAATGCTAATGCTACTTCTTCAATAACTGTTTCTACTACTGCTGCTAATGCTAATGCTACTTCTTCAATAACTGTTTCTACTACTGCTGCTAATGCTAATGCTACTTCTTCAATAACTGTTTCTACTACTGCCGCTAATGCTAATGCTACTTCTTCAATAACTGTTTCTACTACTGCTGCTAATGCTAATGCTACTTCTTCAATAACTGTTTCTACTACTGCCGCTAATGCTAATGCTACTTCTTCAATAACTGTTTCTACTACTGCTGCTAATGCTAATGCTACTTCTTCAATAACTGTTTCTACTACTGCTGCTAATGCTAATGCTACTTCTTCAATAACTCTTTCTACTACTGCTGCTAATGCTAATGCTACTTCTTCAATAACTGTTTCTACTACTGCTGCTAATGCTAATGCTACTTCTTCAATAACTGTTTCTACTACTGCTGCTAATGCTAATGCTACTTCTTCAATAACTGTTTCTACTACTGCCGCTAATGCTAATGCTAACTTCTTCAATAACTGTTTCTACTACTGCTGCTAATGCTAATGCTACTTCTTCAATAACTGTTTCTACTACTGCCGCTAATGCTAATGCTACTTCTTCAATAACTGTTTCTACTACTGCTGCTAATGCTAATGCTACTTCTTCAATAACTGTTTCTACTACTGCTGCTAATGCTAATGCTACTTCTTCAATAACTGTTTCTACTACTGCTGCTAATGCTAATGCTACTTCTTCAATAACTGTTTCTACTACTGCCGCTAATGCTAATGCTACTTCTTCAATTACTCTTTCAAGAACACAAGATGGCGCCTCGTACGGTCGACATGGCTCTTTGCTGCTCTCTTTTTCTTTTGTTTTTACTTTTTAACTGTGCATCTGGCTGTTCCTACACCCGTGAGGAACTTATGAACATCCGACCCACCGTTCCCATGGACCTATTGCCTGTTTTCTTGGCATCTGCGGCTGATTTAGTTCATGTTCTAGCCAAAAAAGTGTGGGCCCGTAAAAGGGGAAAGCGAGGAGGCCTGCTCGTGCGTCTTAGGAGGAGAGGAGCGCGCACGGCTCTCCCCGGCATTTTTCTCTCCAACGTACGCTCACTGGGCAATAAGACGAACTCAGCCTGCTCATGAGAAGAAACAAGGACTTCGCCACATCCTGTGTCCTCTGCGTCACTGAGACCTGGCTAAATGAGCGGATCCCGGACTGCGCTCTGGAGCTGCAGGGCTTTGGGCTGTTCCGCGCGGATCGCCATTGTGCGCTCTCAGGGAAGAGCAGAGGGGAGGGCTGTGTTTCTACGTCAATACAAACTGGTGTAACGATGTGACAGTGATCTCCAAGCACTGCTCTCCTGCTCTGGAATATCTTTTCATTCATTGTAAACCATATTACTCCCCGCGGGAAATTGTTTCATTCATTCTTGCCTCTGTTTACATACCGCCATGCGCGGACGCGCGCGAGGCTCAGCGCGCACTCGCAGAGCAAGTACTGTGTATGGAACGCTTATACCCGGACTCTCTGATTATTATCCTGGGGGATTTTAATAAGGGAAACTTGAGCCAGGAATTACCCAAATACAGACAGTTTATCAAATGCCCGACCAGAGAGGAGAACACTCTGGATCACTGTTACACCACCGTGCGCGGAGCTTTTCGCGCTGTTCCCAAGCCAGCCCTCGGCTTCTCAGATCACTCCATGATACATCTGGTTCCTGCTTACAGACAGAGACTAAAGCTCTCGAAACCTGCAATGAGGAGCTCCAAAGTGTGGTCTGATGAAGCTGTGGAAGAGCTGCGCGCATGCATGGAATCTACAGACTGGGACCTTTTCAGAGCTGCCACAGATAGTTTGGATGAATATACGGACACTGTAACGTCATACATCCACTTCTGTGAGGATAGCATCATTCCAACAAGGACCAGGGTCATCTATAACAACGACAAACCCTGGTTCACTGCTAAACTCCGGCAGCTCAGGAAAGCAAAGGAGTCTGCTTTCAGGGAGGGGGACCGCAGCGGCTACAAAGCAGCTAAATATCAGTTCAGGAAAGAACTGAAAGCAGCCAAGTCCCGGCACAGAGAACGACTACAGGAGCAGTTTGGTAACAACGATACTGCTTCTGTCTGGAGGGGCCTACGGGAGATCACCAACTACAAACCCAAAGCCCCCCCCTGTGCTGATGACCACAAGCTAGCTGACGATCTGAACTTATTTTTCAGTCGCTTTGATGCTGCCCCTGACACCTCTCCCTCCCCCACCCCCCACTACTCTAACGACCCACCCATCAGCCCTGCCCCCAGCCTAACAATAGCCGCTAAAGAGATTAAACAACTCTTCCTGAGGCTGCACCCCCGCAAAGCTCCTGGCCCGGACCACGTGTCTCCGGCCACTCTGAGACACTGCGCCAGTGAGCTTACTCCTGTGTTCACGGACATTTTCAACTCCTCTCTGCAGTCCTGCCATGTCCCGGCCTGCTTCAAATCCTCCATCATTGTCCCCGTTCCGAAGAAGCCCAGGATCACAGGACTCAATGACTACAGACCTGTAGCACTTACGTCTGTCGTCATGAAGTCATTTGAACGCCTGGTTCTCTCCCATCTCAAGTCCCTCACCTCCCCCCTCCTGGACCCCCTGCAGTTCGCCTACAGAGCCAACAGATCTGTAGACGACGCCATTAACCTGGCCCTCCACCACATCCTACAGCACCTGGACTCCCCGGGGACCTACGCCAGGGTCCTGTTCGTGGACTTCAGCTCTGCCTTCAACACAATCCTGCCATCCCTGCTCCAGGACAAGCTCTCCCAGCTCAACGTGCCCGATTCCACCTGCAGGTGGATCACTGACTTCCTGACGGACAGGAAGCAGCGAGTGCGTCTGGGGAAGAATGTCTCGGACTCTCGGATTATAAATACAGGAGCCCCACAGGGCTGTGTTCTTTCTCCCCTGCTCTTCTCCCTGTACACCAACCACTGCACCTCCAGCCACGACTCCGTGAAGCTGATCAAGTTCGCGGACGACACCACCCTCATTGGACTCATCTCCAACAACGATGAGTCCGCCTACAGGAGGGAGGTGGACCGGCTGGTGTCCTGGTGCAGTGGTAACAACCTGGAGCTGAACGCCCAGAAGACAGTGGAGATGATTGTGGACTTCAGGAAGAGCACTGTCCCCCCGCCCCCACCCTCCGTGATGGACTCCCCCATCACCTCTGTGGAGTCCTTCCGTTTCCTGGGCACCACCATCACCCAGGACCTCAAGTGGGAGCCGACCATCAGCTCTCTCATCAAGAAGGCCCAGCAGAGGATGTACTTCCTGCGGCAGCTCAGGAAAGCCAAGCTGCCTGCACAGATGTTGGTGCAGTTCTACACGGCCATCATCGAGTCCATCCTCACCTCCTCCATCACCGTGTGGTTCGCTGGAGCCACAGTCAGGGACAAACAGAGACTACAGCGCATTGTGCGCTCTGCAGAGGAAGTGATCGGCCGCAGCCTTCCATCGCTGCAGGACCTGTACGTCGCCCGAGCTCGAGGCCGGGCTGGTCGTATCACAGCCGACCCCTCTCACCCTGCACATGGACTATTCCAACCACTCCCCTCAGGCAGGAGGCTGCGGTCCATCAGGACTAGAACCTCCCGCCACAAGAACAGTTTCTTCCCCTCTGCTGTTGGACTCTTGAACACTTCTTAACCTGTCCCCCCGCCCTTTATAAAGTCACTTTACTGCCCATCATACGTCACTTTACTTCACTGTACTGCTGTCACCTTACATTGTGTGCACCATGTGCACTTGTATATTGTAAATAGTAACTGTAACTCTATTTTAAATTTAAATTTATTCTTTAGAAGTGTTTTTTATTCTTATTTTTATTATCTCTTTTTGACTGTTGCACTGAGCCAAAGCAATTTCCAAGTCTGTGACCTCCCGTTACTTACGTTGGCAATAAAAATGATTCTGATTCTGATTCTGATTCTGATTCTACTACTGCTGCTAATGCTAATGCTACTTCTTCAATTCCACTAAGTTTTGTCACAAAGAGCATCAAATAAATTAATTCAACATGTAATTATTGTGAGTGAATCATTTGCTTGTAATTGAGTTAATTAACTAATTGACTTCTATATTAATAATGCACAGGACCAATGTAGAGGCGACAGTGGCTCAGTTGTAGAGTATTCGCCTTTTAGCCTGAAGGTCGTGGGTTTGAGTCCACCACAAGACTTTCTCCACTGACTCCCACTGATGTCGGCTGTTGTGTCCTTGAGCAAGACACATCAAGTTTGGCATTTTACAGCTGCCCCAACATGGCACCTGTTATTTTGCCTGATCCTATTCATATTTAATAAAAAAATATGATGAAACTATGTATTTCTACCTAATACATTTGCTGCATGTTGTAATAGCCTGCTTTGCTAATCGCGCTGTAGTTTCTGTGTACTGCAGTTTCCCTGTTGACTTTACTCTGTCTATGAATACTTCTAAACACTATACAGCAAAAAAGTGCCCCTTCGACTTTTCTTTTCTTCTCCCCAATTGCAAACAAATGCACTTATATCCCTTTGTAATGTTTACCGGCACAAAAGAAAAACAAAGGCTAGTCCCTGTCTGCTCTCGTTCAATTCGAACTTAATGAAGAAGAGGATTAACTTTGATATCAGCCTCCCATAGAGAAACAAAAAGGCCAAAAACGCCAAAAAACTATTGTCCTGTGTTACATTTTTGTCACTGTTTGAAGTCGGCTCAGATAAGAACTGGAAAGATGCTGCGATTGGTCCAACCTGGGTGTAGCTTGTTAGCTGGATAAGGAGGCGAGCCACCCTCCGCTCTTCTCAATGCTAATGACGTAAACTCAACAATGGATCAAAGGTCTCGGATGGTTCCTCATTTGAGAGGTCCAAGGCAGTGTCTGTGTTCTACCAACGTGGGTTAATTATGGACTAAAGCTGAGCACAGGTAAAAGGACAAACTGCATGTGTCCATTTTGTCGTCCATTTGAAGTAAAAGAAAGAGTTTGTGTAAGCCCTCAGTCGTACAGGGATTAGTCAAAGCAAAGAAAGGTTTCTCACCATCATCTGTACTTCTTAGCAAGAAGTACAGATGTACTTCTTAGCAAGAAGTACAGATGATGGGTGAGAAACCTTTGTTTGCTTTAAAGACCTTATGACGGGTTTTTAAAAAAAAAATAGTGGATATCAAAATTGCATGACAATGTCAATTTGAAAGAGATTCCGGCAAAAAAAATCCTATATTTTATAAAAAGAACGTGTTTTTCATGAATTTAAGCTGTCTATGCTCTAACCTGTGTGTGACGTCACAGCGGGTTACGCCCATGCATTGAAAACCATGGATCTATGCCACAGGACTGCCTTTTCTCTCTTCTCTCCACTGATGCCCAACACAATACTGCCCTCTACAGGTGACAATTGCTCACTACACATAAATTGCCGTTTTGAGAGTGAAAAAGAGTCCGAGGTGGGATTTGAACCCAAGTATCTGGATTGGCAGTCCATCGACAAAACCACTGGACAATCTCACTGACAACGAAATGTGACATTCTAGTATTTATCTCAGACTCTCTGTAAACGGCCTTGTCATCTTGAATATCCGCGAAAAAAGAACAAATACCAAATTGTAAACAACTTACAGCATTGAAACGTACCCGTTCTGACGTCACCAAGGGCTGTGAAGTTTTTTCGTCTCTAAGGGCGTTGCTATGGGGTTATTTCGATTTGGGGGGATCAGACAAAAAAAACAACAACTGATTTTGAAACCTTTAGTAGTTCTCTTCTAATATAAAATGGTATTAAAACTGTATTTCTAAATAAATCTAACCCGGCATAAGGTCTTTAAAAGAAACAGAATCAGAATCCTTTTTATTGCCATGTAAGTAACAGGAAGTCCCTAGTCGTCAGCCATATCGCCCAGCCCTACTGTAGGGATGGAATCAACTCTGTACGGTCTTGATTTGACTTTCACTGCCATTTCCACTTCCTCCCACGTCCGTGCATAGTTTATGGTGATGCCGCTCCAGTGTTTACAACTCCCCACCGCTAACGGCCTTCAGCGCTTGTGCATACGATAAGACATTTCCCAGTAGCGCCCGGGTAAGTAGGGCCCTCGCCGCGCCTCCGTTCCTGCTGCTCGTTCTTCATGTGGAGGTTTTGGATCCAGTCTGCCTTTTTTGTGCTTCCAACGCTGGTTTCTCCGACATCCCCAGAGTCACGCCGCATCCGTCTGTCGGCACATCCCTGCTGGACCGGAGGCGGGTGGGACTGCGGTTTAAACAGGAGGGGGTGTAGTGTGAGTGACATGGCTGGTTATCCCGGTATTTCAAAGTAGTTAAGGTGTGTTTTTTTTTCGTGAAAGCCGCTGGGAAGAGATGCTCTGGCTCCAGGAGAGAATTTGGAGAAGAGGAAGTAACGGAGAGGCTGAGGCCGGGGATGCTCAGTCAGTGCTGGCAAAACATTTATCTTCCTCAGAGCGACTCAAATATCTGCGCTGCTTCGTCCAAACTTTGCAGAAACACAGTGAGGAACTTAAAAAAACTAACATTTGGATGATTTTAATGTGATGTGCGGGTAGAGTTTATCTTCACTGAGAAAATGTTTGCTGGAGTAAATTTGGTCTGAATATTTGGACGGAAACTTTCAACACGCAGAGCGAATTATCCCCGAAAATGAAGTCCACAAAACACCACAAAACAGATACAAGTGTAAATGAAATGATACTTTTGACTCACACTGTTCATTTAGACACTGAATCCCTGGAGAGTCTCAGACAAGTCTCCAATTAAAATATAAATGTATATTGTAATATTACGGAAGCGTGTTAGGTTCACTTGTGAGTTTTTTATCATGTTATTTCAAGATAATTTCATGTTTGTACAACATACGGATCATGTTATTTCATCATACCAATAATAATAACAAGATATAACAAGATACTGTGGATACAGAAGAAGAAGCTGTAGACGCCAGACCATACGCCAGGAATGTGGAATGGCTCAGGCAAAGGACCCGCTTTGCACCGTTCTGCAACGGCGAAGGGGGTCAGAGGTATCGGATGCAGGAAGATCAAGTAAGTAATCGATGTGAATTTATGAACTGCTTTCACCATAATTACATATATCCTAAATGATTTAGAATATTACAGGATTGTAAACAATGAAATAAATAGCACCATTCAGTTAATTTCAAGTTGTAACAGAGCTAACATGCCCGGCTAAAGCTACTACTGTTCACGAAGTTTGGCGCTATATAATCAAATTCTTCCCTATTATTATTATTATTATTATGACCCTATTTGGTCATTATTTCTATAACAATGGTTTAATTTAAGGCCAGCAAATACAGTTTAGCCTTTAACTTGACCATCATGGGAAATACAAAGCTAGGCTGACAAGCTAACACGCCAGCCCAATTTATTATTTCATAATAAATATTATGAATTTATTATTTAATAATAAATTGGTATCATGAAATAACATGATAGTTGTATTTTATGAAATAACGTGATCCGTATCTTGTACGAACATGAAATTATCTTGATATAACATGATACCAGGAGACAAAAACACTCGCTTCCGTATAATATAAATAACTTACATAATGTTAATTACAGTCTGGGCCATAAGGCAGACCAGCACTTGCTTGGTCTGACTTCTCTCCTTGGACAAAAGTATGTTTGAGGCCATACTGAAAAACATTATCATGGAAACAAGCATTTAAAAATATTCCACAATAAGTTTTATATTTATATACACATAGGACATGGATTTGAGTGATAAGTCTCTTTGCAGACAGAAAAAGAGGCTTATTGCATTGAAAACGTTTTTTTTCTAATGGTCTTTGAGCCTTTTCTTTGTTCCAATATTATCTTTCATTATTTCATGTGGCTTCTGTTTAAGGCACTTTCTCATTTTCTTTTTAATATCTTCTCATTACAAAGTGAATAAATAGTATTTCAGAGTCGTGCGTGTTGAAAATGCTGGTTATCTGTGAAACGGCAGCTGTCTAGGTGCAGATAGAAGCGCGTACAAAACAAGTGTAGTTTTCCTTTTCCTCTGTGAGCGTGGCTAATCGTGTTGTGCACACCACCACTGGGCTGTGATGATTGTTTGTGAAGCAAAAAGTGCTTCTGTCACTTTCTTTCTGCACTAAATGGTTGTCAAATTGAGTGACTGAAAGAAGGGCTTTTATCTAAAACAGGATTGTTCACTTCTTACCACTTTCTACTCTTGGTTAAAACACCACCACTATTTTTTATTCATTGGATCATGAAAGAAAAGGCAAATTACGAACTTTAAGTAAATAAATGCAAACAGTTAATTTTGTCTTCTTATGTTTAAGGCTTTGAAGGTTTTTTTAATAAGACCAGAAAGTAAAGAGAGCTAGTACTGCTTAGTTACCACATGTTTGGGCGATGCCCTCAGACTGACCACGTCCCCCGCCGCGCTGTGGTCTCTGGAGAAGTGAATCCCAAGTGTGAGCCAAGGTGAAGGCCCCCTCGTCTCTGTTGATGGTCCGTGTTCCCCGCTTCCTGATTTCTAATCGCCCTCGTCTCCATCTTTTGTATTTATGTTCTTCTGTTCCTACCATTGTTGCATTGTCCGAGTCCATGATGTGATTCTCTCTTTTGCAGTGATCTGATATTGCTGATTTGAGGTTTTCCTGTGTTGCCTTTTCCTTGGTTGATCTTGTTAGTCGCGCTGCCGTTTCTTTTTCCGTATTCCGCAAACGAGAAAATCACATCATGGACTCGGACAATGCAACAATGGTAGGAACAGAAGAACATAAATACAAAAGATGGAGACGAGGGCGATTAGAAATCAGGAAGCGGGGAACACGGACCATCAACAGAGACGAAGGGACTTTACCCTTGGCTCACACTTGGGATTCACTTCTCCAGAGACCACAGCGCGGCGGGGGACGGGGTCAGTCTGATGAATAACGTACATCGGACTGGCAACTGATTATATCCGTCGCCTATGAGTTGCTGCCCCGCACACATCGACAATCTGGCGAAAACGGGCAACTCCTAGTAGCCTCAACTACAGTGTGTTTTCTGACGCCAGAAAAGGGCGCCATACACACAATACACACATGTTGGATAGCACACATCGGGTGATATCTCCGGATCTGAGGACAACTAGTTGCCAAAAAGTAGAACACGGGCAACTGACTGAATCCGGAGATCGACTGTTTATCTCCAGTTGTAAGAGCGCTCACATCGACCGATTTCAACTGATCATCTCCATCATCTACTCTCCAAAAGCCGCCTTGAAACGAGTCGTCTCCAGTTACTCTGTCGATGTACGCTAGGCCTTAGAAGTATCTGTGAGATCTGTCAGACTGACCGCATCCGGCAACAACAGCTGATCAGAGTCACACGATCACTGTCACCTCTGATGAAGGCCGAAGTGAACCGCCCAAACATGTGGTAATTAAGCAGTTTTTTTACTTTCTTGTCTTACTTAAAGGTTTTTAAAGGTCCTTTTAATGAGTCGCTGTCTAAAATATCTACATCATAGTGACAATTCTGGAAGGCTCCATGTATAGTTGTGTGTACTTGAGTTTTATCTACACTTGTTTACATGACGTGCTTTCATGATGTAGTACAGCCTAACTTTGCGTGATAAAGCGGGAACAATTGGTTAGCATTGCTCTCTCTCCGTGTCCAAAATGGCTGTCAGCTTCTTTGCTCTGTCCTACATAAACCAGAGCTCCGGGTTCTGCTCCCTGCCTTGTTTTACTAACATTTCTCCACAGTATTTCCCACTTTAATGCGTCCCTTCCAACTTGTTATCCCTGTCTTTTTGAATTTAATTTGCATCCATTTAGGACAAAATTAGATGCCAGCTTTCACCATCTCTCTTTTGTGGTTGTGTGATGAGCGACTTGCGTTGCTTCTTTATCCAGTAGTGATTAGTCTGGCCAAATAGATGGTATTAGCAATGTAAAAATCTGCTTATCCTCTGCCAGCTGGAGCAGATGCCCAAATTAAGCATCATTGCAATTTTGTTTTTTTCCGCAGACGTCACAAAGCAACGCTAGAAGGCCAGAACCGAAAAACAAGAAAACAGGTTGAAAAATTGCGCTGGAGAGAAAGAGAGGGGGACAAAAAAGGAAGGGGATAAAGCAGAGTGATGGGGAGAGGGAAAGGAGGGGTATCGGGGAGAGGGAGGGAGGGGTATTTGGGCGAGCGAGCATGGGAATAAGAAATGGCAAATTCTTTAGTTTCAGCCAATTAGTCTGAGAAGCCACTGTAATTAACTCTCGAGGGAGCCGCTGAACAGTCATGCACCTCGTTTACATAATGAGCACGAGGAGAGCCTCTTTTCTCCTCCTCTCCTCCATTTCTGTCACCGGCCTGTTGAACCAAAGCAGCCGCACTTCCCCTTCTGCTCCTCATGGCTCTGGTCCTGTACCGCCGGCTACCACACTGGCCATCCTCCCCAGAATGCAGAGAGAGAGAGACAAAGACAGAGAGAGAAAGACAGAGAGAGAGACAAAGACAGAGAGAGAGACAGAGAGAGACACTGGTACGAGGTTAGGATAGAGTACAGAGCTGTTGGTGGTGGTTCACACTGGATCATTTTAGTCGACAAGACATTTTTTAGACAGAAACCCAATGTCATTTTTAAATGTCTGGAAAACGGCAGAAAGTCCTAAGTGTCTCTGAAACAGACCAGAGCAGAGAAGATTCATGGTTTTACACTGGTCCAGACCAGAGCAGAGAGGATTCATGGTTTTACACTGGTCCAGACCAGAGCAGAGAGGATTCATGGTTTTACACTGGTCCACACCAGAGCAGAGAGGATTCATGGTTTTACACTGGTCCAGACCAGAGCAGAGAGGATTCATGGTCCGAACCAAGTGGATCAGGTGAAAATCCACTGGAGGAATGCTATCTTTATGAAACATGCTGACAAAGCACTTAGCATTTTATTTTGGACCAGAGCAGAGAAAATGGTCTGAACCAAGCGGTTCCACCTCTGCTGCTGTGACCTGAAGGACTGTTTATTATTTTTACTGTTGGCTTTTTAGAATGATCTATTTTATTTTTGCTGCTTCTAGACACCTGAATTTCTCCTACAGGGATCAATAAAGTGTCTATCTATATGTTCCAAAACCAGCAGAACATTTGTTGACAGCTGCCAAAAAGTAGCCTACTCCAAAGTCCCATGAATCTCCACAGCTCCACACATGAACACTCATGACCAGGCTGTATCTCCGACTTTGACTCCGACTTTGACTCCGACCGCGACTCCGACTTTGACTCCGACTCCGACCGCGACTCC